TATGTGCAGAAGTATGAATTCTGTGTTTTGTGGCATTTTGTTGCAGTGCAAGGACAGGAAAGCCAATATTGAATTCACCTCTCTGCGTCTACCGGAACGGTGTTCAAAAGGACAAGCACAGGCTGATAAAAGCAGTGGGTCCTGAAAATGACCCATTCATCATGATATCGACACTGTTTCATCAGTTAGGCCTTGCCCAGCTGCAAGTGGTGTTACCGATTGTTCTGTAGTCTGAATATAGTATTGGCAGCCTTACAGTGATGCTGCATTAGCAAGAGGATGTTAAATGTCATTGTCTAGTGCTCTCATTGACTTTTCTTGCTGCTGGAGTCACGTTCTCGAAGTACAGTTGTCCTATGATTTATAAATGGGTTGCACTAAAATAGAGCCGTTGGTTTCATCTAAATAAAAAGGAAGCTATTGTGTAATTGCTAGGCTCCTGAGATAAACTGGCAGGTGCTGGTGAAAAGAAAGATTCTGTTTCCTCCTTAGCTATACACCTTGGAAGACTGAACAGCGCTGTTGCCCCTGGTCATGTGTGCAGGTTATTCCTGTTTATCGGATTAAAAGCAGATCTTTAATTAATTCCAGATATGTGGATGTCGGTTCCTGTATAAAGCGCCCCTCACTGATGTCAACAAGCTCCGAAAGTGAAGTTCATTATTTCATGCCTGCAGGTCTGTGACAAAATAAAAATAGTGACAAAAATGGGCAAAGAACTAGCAGAAGTCAGTTCCTTGCCCTTTGGTGATGATGTTTTTACAGACATGGCTTGAGGCGTTGGCAACTCTGATCTTCAGAAGTGGAGCCTTAATATTTGCTGAGTGGCTGCTCACCAGGACTCTTGTGTTAACGATGTTTTGGGGGATTCTGGGCTGCTGTTACCGTAGTAACAAGCACCTTGCCTCTCTGTTGTCCTTCAGTGCTTTGCGGTGCGCTCTCTGGGCTGGGTGGAGATGGCTGAGGACGACCTGGCCCCAGGGAAGAGCAGCGTGGCCGTGAATAACTGCATCCGACAGCTGTCGTACTGCAAGAATGACATCCGGGACACCGTGGGCATCTGGGGAGAGGTGAGGAGTGGCGGCCGATTATTCCTAACCAGCCGTCGGCCAGCGGTCTCCGTCTTTGGGAGTTCGACCAGAGGAGCCATGAAGGACAACTGCAGTTGGAGCTGCATCTCTTTCTTTGCTAGAGTCTAAATTCAGACCTCAGGGGCTCTGGGATTCTCTGGTTTTTCATTCAGGCTAATACTGCTCCATGAACAATTCACTCCTTGAAATGTGACTAAGCTTTGACCTGGATGTTTACCTGTTGTCTGAACTGAGAACACAAGGCGAGAAGGAGCGACTTGGGAAGAAGAGTTCTCGATGTTTTCAGTCCCAGGAAGGGTACAGGGGAGCACAGGTGACTAGCTAAGAAGCCGAATTGTTCCTGGTCACTGGGAGACAATGTTTTGGTTAGTAAAAAGATTATTTTGATTGGTTCCATTGGAGCAGACCAGGCGGTCAGTCAAACTGGTCGACTAACCTTATCCCAGGCTCAGTTTTAAACAACTCTTCTATGAACTGACCTGTGGCAGGCTGTCGTTGGCCCTCTCGTGTTAATTTCCTCTTCCTTGCTTTTCAGCAATAGCATGTAATGTCATCTCTCCTTTTAAGACCCTGTTAGTTTTGGCTTTTCTGAAGTAAATTTCCTTGGAAGGGAGTTCCTGTTTCTGAAGCGGGCAGCATGTCCAGGAGCATTATGCAAATGTGGAGCGATCTGGCCCAAAACCTTGAAGTCTTTGAAGCACTGAGGTGGCAGGAAGGAAGCCACAGTATCGTTTGAGATCCCTTTAATACTGATGCTAAGACTATGAAAATAAGCTTCTCGAGGATGTGGAGTGGAAACAATTTTAAAGAGATGTGCAGTGACTGGTATCTTTGTAGCTTAGTCATTTTGCTGTTGAACAGTCTTAGATGTGGCATCTCAAGACCTTAAATACACGTCTCTGGAAGCGCAGTTTCCTTTCTATATGTTTACCCTCAGGGTGGGCTGTCATCTTCACAGAAATTACAGCCTTGAGCCACTGTCTTTTCATGTGGCGATTTACGTTTTTCTGATGTTAGGCAGACAGTCATAGATTTGCCACAGGCCCTACCTATGGGTTCTGAATTTCATTCACTATTATATACAGCGCCCTCCGAAAGCCCTGGGCCGACAAAGTCCAACCCCCCATTTTTGTTTTCCATTCAAGCAATGTGTATTAATAATAATAATGAGCTTCAGTGGGCTACCAGAGCTGCAGAGTGAGAGAGGCTGCCGTCTTTATCATATACATTATGTTCATATAAATGATAAAGAACATGTAATATCGCTTAATTCTGGGGGACTTCCACGCGGATGAAATCATCAATTAAGACGAGTGGGGTTCCAGAGATGGCCGTGCATCTCAAATGATCACAGAAAGTCTGGTGAGCTCAGCTGGTCACGGGTTTCATGAAGTTAGTGCATCCGAGGGCTATCCAACCAAGTGCATGATTAAACATTTACATAAGATTGAATGTGTCCCTATACAGTACTTCTTATCACTTGAACAGAAAGCATGGTTTTGTTCAAATGTGATCGAATGTTAGCGAGGGAGACCCAACATACAAATTTGCATTGTATGCGTAGTCCGCCCTGCGTTCTGATATAAAGGGCTTTGGCTTTGCAAGCTCTCCATTGAGGCTCAGCCACTGAAGACAGTTACTCCGTGTGCAGGTGGTGATCCTTGGGAGAGGCTGAATTCCTCACGGCGCCGCACCCCACTGGCAGATCCACCAGGGATCGGGCTCGGGTTGGGCCAGTAAAGGCTTTGACCCTTGGGCGGCTGCTCTTGCACGTGATGTTTGCGAGAAACCTGTTTGTCGCTGTGGATTTTGCAGCAGGTGATGGGGAAATGTCTCATGGCAGTTTTGGGGGTACTCTTCTGCCTGTGGAGTCCGGCCGTCCTCGCCGATAGCCAAGGTGTCCAGAAATGATCGGCGATGGCACATTGTGGGTGTCAAAACAGAAAACAGCTGTTTCAGAAGCGTTTGATTTACCCCGGATGGAGGGTGAAACCAAGAAAGCTATTTTTAATTTCCAGTGGCTGGATGACCCTGATGCCGATAATAAAATATTAATAATAATTCCTTACACCTTTTCTGGACACTCCACTCAAAGCGCTTTACAGGTAATGGGGACTCCCCTCCACCAACATCACCAATGTGCAGCCCCACCTGGATGATGCAACGGCAGCCATAGTGCGTCAGTATGCTCACCACACTCCAGCTCTCAGTGGGGAGGAGAGCCGAGTGATGAAGCCAATTCATAGATGGGGATTATTAGGAGGCCATGATTGGTAAAGGCCAGGGGAAAATTTGGCCAGGACGCCAGGGTAACACCCATACTCCTTTCATACCTGTCCTTGATCTTTCTCTCGACACTGTAGAGGCTTGGTGTTCGTCAAATACAGTCGCAGCCTTTATCTCTCTTGCTTCTGTTCCAGGGCAAGGACATGTACCTGATTCTGGAGAACAACATGCTGAACCTGGTGGACCCCATGGATCGCTCCATTCTGCACTCTCAGCCCATCGTCAGCATCCGCGTGTGGGGCGTGGGCCGGGACAATGGCAGGTGAGGGGCGGGGGGCGACTCGAATATGATGCTGATGGACAGGTCCTGCTGATTGCCTCGCCTCAGTCTTCACGACTGTTAAGATTTTTCTTTTCAATTCCTCGCTCTTCTGTCCTGAATGCTTACAAAACGAACGACTCGAGACGGGGACTGTTTCTCTGCTGAAGTGCTGTTTATTTTTCTGTATTTATGCAGAGCCTGGTTAAAATGTGTTGGTGCATACCTGATGTGAATCTGTGGGCCTGTCTTTTGCTTTTTGTGACGTGTGCAAAGACAAATAATTTTTTCTTCATGCTGTGTAGTTTAAATCTAAGGGAAATCATGTATGTACAGTACATGTCCGATGATTATAGAGTGCAAACAGGACTGGCTGTACCGGGGGTTTTGTGTGAAGACCACAAACCCTCCACACTTGTTAAAAATCACATTTTGCTCTATGTCTTCTGTAGTGCTTTTCCTCAGTATTTATTGAAGTACAGTGTGAGCAGGACTATGAGAAATGTTGGTACATAAGCCAGGGATGGATTGCGTAAATTAATCTTGTCACATTGTCGCTTCTTCAGAAGCTGTGAATAAAATGTAGCAGTCAGAACATCTGCCGTTGTTTGAAGGGTTAAGGGACTTTGATAGTGATTTTTAATATGCAAACGCAGCAGGGGAGCATAACCGCACGCCAGAAAAATATCATTTTTCTCTCCTTTTCTTTTTTTTGCTCTTATCAGCATGATTGCATTGATTCTTTTTTTTTTCCACCACCAACTGTTAGAGCCTGCATCTTTGCTTTTTCCCTGCAAGATGTGGTGTGAGGGTGCCGTGTGAAATTACAAACAAACAATGGCAGGAGACTTTCCGTCTTTATAGAAAACAATCACAGGTTCAAGGGCACTGGTCACATTAGGGCTCAATGCTAATTTAATTTTGCTATTGTGGGCCTTCACGTCCAAGTTGCATTTCCGAAGAAGGCCATGTGTCTCACCCATTCCTGTTCTTTTTATGCGCGTTGGTTAGAAACAATACAATTTTGGAGACGCAGTGGTTGAATTAAATGTTGGATCTGAAAACGAGCACCATGGCACAGCCCTACATCCATGATCCCTGTATGCGAACCTTCAGTGATATCCTAGTCATCGCCTGTGACTCCCTGTTCTTGGCGAATATATATACGAGTTATGAGGAATCATCTGACAGGCCATTGCAGACGGCTGCAGTGTTTTGAATACAGTTGGCCAAATCAGTCTTTATACGCATGGTCATTCTAATGAGCTGTGATAAGATAAATATGACACGGCTTGGATTCTTTTCCACTGCCAGATGTTGGCGCCTGGTTAGAAGGATAAGTGTCAAACACACAAACACTCTGAAGAGAGCTCAGTAAATTTCTGAAGATCAGTGGGACATTAAAGACCAAAGACGTTTAAAATATGGATTGGTCATGCTGAAAGACACCCTCTCTTGATTTAGGTGACACTTAATGAGTCGTAGGCTCTTTCTGGGTCTCTTTCACTCATCGATTTCCAAGTCTCTGGTCATTCGTTGAAAATGATGTCAAAGCGCAGTGGTTTGATGGAAAAACACGCTACCTCTTTTCTAACCATGCTCTGGAGACGTGGGTTCATGTCATTCTGGGGCATCATGAGATGGCAGCCCTGTAAGGAAATATTTTTGGCAACACAGCTTGAAATGCAAAAAAGCTTCTGCGATATACTTTCAAAACACCCATTAACTGTTAACTAACATACACATTGACTGTATTTTCCTTTGGACTCCCAAGTTTTCACACACTCGTCACTGCACGTGCCAAGGGTTGATTTGCAGCAAAAATCTTTAATTTATTCTCTAAGGAATCTATGGGTTCCTTAGAGCATAGATGCAATGCTTTTTGGAACTGGCTTTTCGGAAAAGTGCATGTACATTCGAAAATGAGGAAAGTTTTTACATTGGATTTCAGATAGTCGTTCATATTTCTTAGAAGGGTGAGCTTCTGTATAGTTATGCCTGCATATATCTAAATCCCATACAGAGACAGAACGGTTGTGTAGTGCTGCCCCTTAAATGAATGAAAAGATTGAAAAATGTGTGAAGCCTTTAGTAAATTGATAATACTTGATTACAGCAAAGTGGCTTTGCAGTGCTGCTCTGGTTAAGAGGGTAAAATGTTTAGCATATTTTTGTAGAAATACTTTTGGATCGCAGTTGTGAGGTGGCGTACCCCGTTTTGTAATGGGTGTTCATCGTCTTTCGTATTGAATGTGGAGCATTGATCAGTTTGGTTGGTAAAAGGAGACCTGACACTCTTTGTTGTTAGTAGAGAGTGGCCAGGGTCATATGGTTTAGTGTGACATGTCTGAAGAGGACACCTGCTTTTCAAGTCACTTATATTTTAAAGACATTAAAATCTTCTTTTGCATGTAGTTCTGGAGAGACAGAGAAAGGTGGCATCCCTGATTCTGTTGTATTGTAATGTTCCGTCACAATGGTTGAAGTGCCAATTTTGATATGGTCTTGTAACAGTATCTGTAGAAATACGCCGGTCGAAGTCAACACACAAACACACACACACACAGTTGTGAGGTTCAGAAATCATCGTAGCACCTTCATTTGCAGTGCAGTGGAACTTAAAACACCACAGCCAAACAAAACCACAACTAATGCCGAAGCTTTTCTGAGCTCCTGACCGGACTTCTCCCTGGAGTCCCTCTCTGTCATGGCCGCACACTCGCTGCTTACCAGCCTCCCAGCAATCCGTCAGGCCTCTCCCAGACTCTTCAAAACAAAATAGTTTCTTTCGCTCTCGGAGACTCTTCTCAACGCTTCCCAAACACGCAAAGTTTCGTGCTCTCAGAATCTCGGCAATTGAGGCCTTTCTAAAACAGACAGAACTCACAGATCCTTGGTCCTTGGTCAGTCCTTCGCCTTCTCCGGGCGAGTGGTATACACAGGGGTTCTGCCTTCTGCCCCCTCCAGCACTCCCCCAGACTAGACTGACACTGGCAGCTTCCCCTTCCAGTTTTTTAAGCAGCCACTCGTTCCCCCGGAGGGGTCTAGGAATGAGGTCCTTACCAGGCCTGTGCTCTCACGCAGTTTAATGAAGGTGTAATTGGCCACTTACCCCTTAATTACCTTCAGCATAGGGGTAACTTTTAAAAGCCTGTCCTGCCTCCTGTATCCTGTGTCCAAGATTTCCTGAGGCCCAGGTGGCGGCCCTAATTGTGCCCTTAAGGACTGTGGTTATCTTGTGAAGAAGCCTTACTGTGTGTCTTTCAAGCCACTTACTCTAACCAGAGCAGGTTTTGGCATTTTAACATGCTGCCGAGTGGAGCTGCTGCAGCAGTTAGTCTCTCACCTAATTAAAATGGAGAAGGTCCTGGCCTGTCTACCATTACACGCAGCTTCTAAAACACTTACCTTTTTTCTTTTAGAATTGGCACGGTTAGGTTGAGGGAGTTCTTTTTCAGATCTCTTTAATGAATACATCTGACCTTAACTTCTCCTGGAGGTCAGACCTTGCTCCATAGATACTTGTATGTTTATTGCTTTAAGAAAAAGAATAAAACTGCTGGCGTTTTTGTTTTTTTCTTCTGCTGCCTTTTCAGATCTTGACGTGTGTGCTTTGCTGGCGACTAACAGAGCTATAAAACTAAACCTCACAAAGACCAGTGGCTTTGTTTTCTCCTTCTTTCCAGAGTCAGCTTGGAAGTCTAGTATAGGGGCAGCCATTTAAAATGACTAGAAAAAACAGCTATTAAAGTCCCATGGTGACATACCAAAAGCCAGATAATGTAGCTTTAGGAAAGAATGTAAAACCACCAGTACTGGTTTAAATCCAACCCTCACCCACTTTCCAGACTCCAATTACATATCCAGTACTTGATGGCGAGTTTCCATTAGGTACTGCAGATATAAGGAGCCTCTTGTACCCAGTCACCATCGAGCACCGATCAATGTTGATTGGCAGGTTGTCGGTTGGTTCTGATCGGCAGGGGGGGGGTCACAATTTTGATTTCACAGGGGCAGTCCCTGTCCGCCTGCTCGCACCACTCATGCGGGTAGGAAACGGGCACGTCTTTGAAACTTGAAGAGCCGAAGACAAAAGGGGAGTTTTGCAGTACTTTGAAGAAAAGATGAAACGGCAGGCCTCTTTAGAAGTACGAGCAGTAGCTGGATAGTGGGAGGGAGGTGAGGGGATTCAAAGCGCTGAGCACTGTGTCTGCTGTGATAACTTCTTCAGACACTGTGTTCCGGGACGCTTGATAAGTACTTAGTGAGGTAGACAACTGCAAGGTGGGGCCCAGGAGACGAGCACTGTAGGCCAAGAGACGTAGGACAGTACCTCTCACGGCCCAGAGGAACAAAGCTACGTAAAACAAACCAGCTCAGCAACTCAGACTTACAAATTTCTCCACTATCTGTAGGGCCTGTTTTTTAAAACAAACTGAGTTATCCTAAGCGTCTGAACTGTGAGTTTATCAAGAACGATTCAGCTACACGTTTATATATTTTAGATATAGGGGGCAGGCTTACATGCCCCATTCAACAACACTGTTTAAAATTTCTCAAAATTGAATTCTAATCTGTGTGCTGTGGATATATACGGACACAAGGCTAAATTATTTGTTTTCGCAGACTAATATGAAGTATGACATTATCAGATTTGCCCGTGAAAATGTTTCACAGAATGATGATTATGATTTTCCCGTGGTATTTACAACGTGCTGTTCTCGACACTGGGAATACACCCACCCCCATAAAGTTGAACAGGATCTTGGTGATTTACTGGCAATTCAGAAAGGACATCTTATGACAGAATGATTCAGAGTTTATTGCAAAGTAGCAGAGGTGTCTGACGTGAAATCTCCTTCTGAGTGATGTCTACCTAACCTCTGCCTTAAAACCAAGGCAATTTCCTTTTTAAGATTATAAACAATTTCCACAGGTTCATGCGGGTTTGTGTTTCACTGTCAATTCTGAAGACGTCTCCTGGCTTGACAATTTGTCAGTGC